CAAGATCGTATATCCGTGCCTTCATTACTTCCGATATTGAAAAACATTCCATCATACCATTGTAATCAGTCCTCCCACACTGAAAAGGTAAATTTGGTATGAGAATCTAGAAAAATACAACAATCTTACCTGCTCTATGTTGACTATAACATTTTCGAGTGTACCTGAAAGTCCAGTAACACCGTATTTCCAATGATTATGTATAGGGTGAGTCCTCTCCTTATTGTGCACATTATCCAAGTCCCATGTGGATTTTCTGAAGAATTCTTCAGGAGGTAGTGTTATCAAAGGGTTACGATCTATAAGGAACATAGTTAGGTAGCCTTACCTAGTCTTAAGGTGGTGCCGTAACTTTCGGGCTATCTCTGGTATGGTTAATTGACCATGACCCTGCAGCCATCTAAGTAGATTAAAGTCTGTGTCATAATACTCAGTGAGATCATCTTTGACAAATTTTCGTAATTCAGCTATCTTCTGCTTTTCATCGGGTGTGATACCGCTAGAGATCGTCATTAAAAATCTGAAATTTCCCTCTTTTAAAACACTATTTTTCAACCAATTCACGGAAAGCAAACGTACGGAAAAACCGGAGGAGTAAAGTTAATGTAATGATTGAATTTCTGTGGAATCTTATAATAGTGAAAATAAAACTGGTCGGCGAATGAGTAAATTAACCGCAAGGTTTGCAACAACATGAATGAATACCTTGGGAGATGATTCGATGGGTAGAGACCAGAATTAGATTGGCGAAGAACGCGAAAGCTCATCAATCTATTTTCCGTAATTAAAAGCAAAAAAAAAATGAGTAATCAAGGAGAGGCAGTAGGTCGAGTCATTTAGCGCACTTGCCATCTCCATCAACTATCAACAACACAGCCTGTTTCCTGTGGTGATGTTACGCAAAAACTCAAAGTTGAAACCGGTTTTTAGGCTTTTGGTAAATCATTAAACAAACTAAGAGGGAATTCTGAAATAGTGAAAGGGACTAAAATCGTAGAAGGCAAAGTGTCATATAACAAAATCAGGGACGTTCGGTTGTATTGTAAATGTTTGAGAATTTGTTTGAATGGCAAATCTCAATT